CTAAGCCTGTATCACGCATGCTACATAACTGACTGACCTAGGGTTTTGAAGATAGACCCCCATTACGATATAGATTCTGAAACTACATTACCTAAGGTACTTGGATAATTATATTTCATTTTGATCAAAGAGCCCCCCCCCGAGGGGCACAATTTCCCCCCTTTGATATAAATCAATTTAAATTTGAACAAGGGAATGACTTCTAGTGTACTTAGATAAGTATATTTTATTTTGATCAAAGGGGGTCCCGATGTGGGAGGAAACCCCTCCTCTGAAAACTTTTGCCTTTCATTTAAATTAAATTTAAATTTGAACAGGGGAATCACTCCCATCCAAAATATAGAAGGAGAAAGTCAGAAGATGGAGGTCACACCGGCAACATCAAAATGAGACAATATGGATGTCAAGTTGAGCAAGAAATCACCAATCAGTGATAAATATTTGTTGCGACAATTCAACTGTCATATCAATGTTGAAATCTGCTCATCAATTCGTTCAATCAAGTGTTGCATCAAATACAAATCATAGGGGGTCAGATCAAACTATTTTTTCCACAAACCCCACTGAATTATTCCCTTTGATTTAAATTAAATTTTAAACAAGGGAATGATTCCTATCCAAAATATAGAAGGAGAAAGTCAGAAGATGGAGGTCACATCGGCAAGATCATTGAGTAATATTGAAATGTATCATTTTTCTCCACAAATTATAACAATGATTTAAAATCAGTGATCATTTGTGACACGCAGCAAGGCGGGAGTAATTAGGTTAGTATTTTATAAATGTATTATTTATTGGGTCGAGCTAGCTCAGACATTCATGTGTTTATCACATCAACCAACACGGTCCTGAATCAAGGTTGGAAGATCACTAAGGCAGCATTCTGTATCATAACATAGCTTGTCAATATATTAGGTTGGTGCAAAAATAATGACGTAATAATGTCGTTTTTTGACGTATTTTTAAGGCCAAAAAACGACATTATTACGTCATTATTTTTGCACCAACCTAATAGATGATTTCTCGTCGATCAGCATGTCTTGCCCTATGGCTAGGTGTCCATAGCGCTAGATCCCTCGCGAGTTCTTATATCTCTCACCAGCAGTGTCCTGCAAAGTCCATTCTGTGTTCACGTAAGATTGTAGAAATATCAGAAATGTATTGATAGAGCTGTGATTTGGTTGTTGTCTCCCAGAAATGTTAAGTATTGTTCTCAGCATCCCAGTGTAGCTTCCATCAAGCTTAGATACTAGGATTTAAGATTGTAGAAATATCAGAGATGGGTCCGGAGAGCTGTGATTTAGTCGGCAGTTGTCTCCCAGGGAGGTTAAATATAGTTCTCAGCACCTGGCTCTAGGTTCCATCTAGGTTAGACTCAAGGGTTTTAGCTAATATCAAGCAGTGGTACCATACATTAAAATATCCACTAGAGTGGCTCAAAAGAATCTCCGCTTGAAGTTGTCTGGTAGATCAGGTTTACAGATTACTCCCAATTTATTCAAGGCTGACCAGGCTTTAGCTATATGAATTTTCACATCCTTTTCAGTAGAATTTATTTCCTTTCCTAGGTATGTAAAAGATTCGGTAGATTTTATTGATTCACCCGAGACAATTTGTATTGAACATTGTTGATTGAACCATCAAGCTTCAGCCAACTAAGCTCAATATATATGTATAGTCGGTATAAAAAACAAAGCTCATGGAAAAATTTCTTAATTCAACTAAAATATTAGCAATATTTGCAGAATTACTGTTGTAACCTGGGGAATGTTACTGAATAGAATAATCACACGAAGGTTGCTAATGAACGATAATACTCAGGACAAGAACAACACATATAAGATTCGACAGTGGCGCGTAAAAGCAGTAGTCACCTTAATTTGAATTCCAATTAATCTCCAACTACAGGTATTTCAACCGCCCCACGCGGACAGTTCGAATTTAATGTATTAGCTCCGCCCAGTAAAAAAAATTCCCCAGACACCGCATAAAACGGGGTCGGTAAACTGAGAGGATCCTCAGACGAGGCTATATCGAAGAGCAGAGTCTCGTCTCGGGGGAACAGCTACCCAACCCCGATTTTATACGGGATTTACGGGGAATTTTTGGCCGAGCGTACGGGCTCGGATACTCCACATTAAATTCGGCCTTGTGCCACATCTGACCGTGTGGGGCGGTTGGTAGATATCATAGAGTTGGAGATTCATTGTGGAATTCACTTGACTCACTTCTAGCAGTTGACTACTTCTACGCGCCGCTGGCGAATCTTATATGTGTTGTTCTTATCATAAGTATTATCGTTCATTACCAACCATCTATAGGTTACAACAGGTTGTAGCTGTTCTGAAAGTAACCATATAAATTTGTGGGCACTTCGACGTGATGCAATGGTTAGGAAGCTTGTCTCGCTAGATCAATTACGAATGATTAATGAGTTCGATCCTCACTGGGTGCTCCACACTTTCGGCCTTATAGCACATCTAAGCTACGCTTAGAAAATCATTTGGACACCTCGACGTGATGTAATTGTTATCAAGCTTGTCTTGCTAGCTCTATTACGACTGAATAGTGCGTCCGATCCTCACTGGTTACCCCATACTTTCGGCCTTGTGCCATATCTAAGGTACGCTTAGAAAATTGCCATATTCGTACAGTTATTTTTATTCGCAGTCTTTTCTTTATTGTTAACAGTCACTATTTGGCACTATTTTTGATAAGTTTAATATGAAAGTTATTAAAAGCGGATTTTAAGGATTTATGATAGATTGGATATATGGAAATCAATCAGGTGCAACAATTTAGAAATGGGAAATGCATTAATAGAGGAAGAAAATTGCGACATTGAAATCCGAAGGCAATTTGGAATAGCGAAAGATGCCTTCCAAAAGCTGAGCAAAGAAAAAGAAAAATATCGTTAGATACAAAGAAAAGAATAATCAACTGCTATATAGTATCAGTCCTCAAATATCGCAGTGAATGTTGGACACTCTCCTCACAGATAAAGAAGGGACTTGAAGTAGCAGAAATATTGTTATACAGATGGATACTGAGAATGGCATGGACCGAACATATGAGCAACGATGAAGTTCGAGAGACAATGACAGCAAAAAGGACATTTATGCTTAACATCGGGAAGATACAACTGAAATTTCTAAGGCACATAATGAGGAAAGAGGGCTTGGAAAATTTGATACTCACGGGACAGATTGACGATAAGAGAGACAGAAAAAAGTAACGCATAATCAATCTAGCGAGCTTGAATGGATGACAGGAAGGGTTGGGGAGAGATGACAAAAAGACAAAGGCTATTAAACGCTACAAAAGGCGGGAATTTGTGGAGATGATTGCCAAAATCCTGAAAGGACAGGGCACAAAGAAGAAGAAGAAGAAGAAGAAGAAGAAGAAGAAGAAGAAGAAGAAGAAAATTAGTGATCCTGACAAGTTGGATTTGCAAAAGTGCTTTCATTTCAGCAAAAAATGCAAAGGTTCTTAATATAAGAAAAAAATCGTAGGCAGCGGTTACCAAAACCTACAGCAGGGTTTCTTAATCTGGGTAGGGGGAGTCGATGTGTCAGCTGGTCCATGAGGATCAGATAAAAATTAACATTTATATTCGCTTTACAGCTGTTGTCCCAGCCAACTGTTTCCCATTGAAAGAAATAAAACAAAAGCAACTTGCCACTGCTTAAAAAGAAAAATGTTTGTAAAATGATCTGGACTGTTTCTGAAGTGTTTAGGATGAAAGTTTAAGTCATATGGGATTTTAACAGTCAAAATAGGTATTTATAAGGACTTTTAGGTGAAGTTACAAGTATTCACGGATTCTAACTATTCGCGGCTGGTTCTGATCAATAAGCCTCGCGAATACGGGGGACTCACTGTAAATATTTTACTATCTTTAATCCTTTTAACTCCCCGTAGAAGAAAAAAGAAAAATAATTCTCGCCATTCATATATCAGGGATTCTTAATCTAGGGTCCTTGAGGATGAGAGAAAAATTAACATTTATATTCGCTACACAGGCCTTGACCCATTCAACGGTTTCCCTTTAAAAGAAATAAAGAAAATAAATCCTACCACTGAGTAAAAGAAAACGTACCCAGCCACTAGTTACAGTGACTACCACTAGGCGTATCTTGACTTGCAGTTGGGTCCAGGTTTACCATTTAAATGTGTGTCATCATTCTCTGCACGATTCCATCTTTTGTCACTCCATAAGAACAAGTGATATTTCTCATTTTCCATGGTTTACCACAGCTTGATTATCTTCTCGTATACTGGTGAGGATTAATTGACAATTTTTTTCAAGCGTTGCTGGCTGAAAAGTGATATGTGTGCAGCATGCATAAGAGTGCAGTATGGAGAAATGCACGCACAAGTGTTGTGAACAACCGATCAGTCTGTGAGTATCCGCTTGTCTGTCTATGAAGGGCTACTTTTTTTTTATAGGAGTCCGTGATTAAAGGGGTCCGTAACTCAAAAATAGTCAAGAACCACTAAGAACAAATTGTTTATCAGTCACATAACTTTTTTTACAGTATCTATTCCATAATATAAATTACATTGTGACTCATTTTCATTAGATAACACTCGGATCATAGACATCATCTTTGACGTTATTATCAAAAAAAAATAAAGCTGGTCCTCATGGGGTACTTGTCAATCCGGGTAGACCTAGACAAGGGCAGTGGAACGGGAGCAATATACCCAGTAGATTCAATGAAGGTTTCAGTTCGAAATGCACTGAAGGTTAGCCAGATCGACATGCTGAAGGCCGGAGAGCACAACACCCGAAACGTTGTAATAATAATAATAACAAAGATGAGGATAGTAGTCCGAGAGTATAATAATATAAGTAATGATAATTACTCATTACAAAAATTCAGAGAGAGATTTAGGGTTTTTATTTACTAGGGTTGCTGAGGATTATTCGGCCCGAACCATTTCCCATCACTTTTGATTGGCAGTTGTAGCCATTCCAAAAGAAGTCATGTAAAAACTGTTTCGCTTTCTTGTGAGAGAGGATGGGGAGGGAGAGAAAGCGACAAAGAAAGAGAGAGATAAAGAGAGATAGAAAGAGAACGAGAGAGATAAAGATGAAAAGAAAGAGAAAGAATGATTGGAAGAGAGAGAAAAAGATAACGAGGGAAAGAGAGAGAAAGAGAAAGTGAGAAAGAAAGAGAGAAAAACGAGAGAGAGAAAAAAGGTGAATGAGAGAGAGAAGGAGAGAGAAAAAGAGAACGGGAGAGAGAGAAAGAGAGGGAGAAAGAGAAAGAGAGAAGGAGAGAGAAAGAAGTATATAGAAAAAGCGAGAGAGAAAGATAGAGAAGAAGAAAACGAGAGAGAGAGAGAAAAAGTAAACGAGAGAGAGAGAGAGAGAAAGAAAGAACGAGAGAGAGAGAAAGAAAGAGGGAGAGAGAGAGGGAGATAAAGAGATAGAGAAAGAGAGTAAAAGAGAGAAGAAGAGAGAAAGAAAGAGAGAAGGAGAGAGAAAGAAAGAGATAAAAGAGAAGGACAAAGAGAGGGAAAAAACAAAGAGAACAAGGCAGAAAAAAGAGAAAAAGAACGACAGAGAGAGAGAGAGAGAGAGAGAGAGAGAGAGAGAGAGAGAGAGAGAGAGAGAGAGAGAGTAAAAACACGTATAAAAAGCGTGGAAACACATAATAAATTAAACAAGTGTAACTGCGATGTGAGACATTTATTTTATATATTTTATATTTATTTTATATATTTTATAATTATTTTATATATTTTATATTTATTTTATATATTTTATAATTATTTTATATATTTTATATTTATTTTATATATTTTCAATTAACGTCCTACGCTAACGATCGTTATTCGAATAACGATCTGGAGTTTCAATAAAAAAAAACGAAAATCAAATTGAAAGCATAATAATTAAATGTCAATAAAAAGTGGGAATGTTTCATTTAAGAAATTCAACTGACATTACGACTAATCCTACTTTTGCATGTAAAGAAATATGGCGGTTTTTCTGGTATTTCTGTTGAAATATGGGATACACCCATATGATTAGTTTTAAGTGATTCCCTTCGTAGGATAATCGTTGAAAGACGTCCGAGAATAACGCGAGTCTGCGTCATTCTCAGAGATCTTTCAACCTTTTCAATATATCAATATATTATCTACTTCTACTTCTTATGGATGGCAGTTGCAATAAGAAGCAAGAGAAATGAAGATGAAAGAAATACTAGTGAAAAATGAATAATAATTGACAATGCTTCATCTAAGAATGCTAACCAGCAGGAGTCATTCAAATTTAGCCATATAGCTATATTCTCTACTTCTACTTCTTATGGATGAGAGTTGCAATAAAAAAGCAAGAGAAATGAAGATGAAAGAAATACTAGTGAAAATGAATAATAATTGACAATGCTTCATCTAAGAAGGCTAACCAGCAGGAGTCATTCAAATTTAGCCATATAGCTATATTCTCTACTTCTACTTCTTATGGATGGGAGTTGCAATAAAAAAGCAAGAGAAATGAAGATGAATGAAATACTAGTGAAAAATGAATAATAATTGACAATGCTTCATCTAAGAAGGCTAACCAGCAGGAGTCATTCAAATTTAGCCATATAGCTATATTCTCTACTTCTACTTCTTATGGATGGGAGTTGCAATAAAAAGCAAGAGAAATGAAGATGAATGAAATACTAGTGAAAAATGAATAATAATTGACAATGCTTCATCTAAGAAGGCTAACCAGCAGGAGTCATTCAAATTTAGCCATATAGCTATATTCTCTTCTTCTACTTCTTATGGATGGAGTTGCAATAAAAAGCAAGAGAAATGAAGATGAAAGAAATACTAGTGAAAAATGAATAATAATTGACAATGCTTCATCTAAGAAGGCTAACCAGCAGGAGTCATTCAAATTTAGCCATATAGCTATATTCTCTACTTCTACTTCTTATGGATGGGAGTTGCAATAAAAAGCAAGAGAAATGAAGATGAAAGAAATACTAGTGAAAAATGAATAATAATTGACAATGCTTCATCTAAGAAGGCTAACCAGCAGGAGTCATTCAAATTTAGCCATATAGCTATATTCTCTACTTCTACTTCTTATGGATGGAGTTGCAATAAAAAGCAAGGGAAATCTGATGTGTTTCGGGAGTATGCTGGTCGTTTATGTGGGAAATACGTGTCTCCTGGTATATGTATCCCACAACAAAAAATGGCGGACTTGAATGTGAGTCCGTTTAATAAAATGTCAAAATAACGACAAAACTCTCTCTCTCTCTCTCTCTCTCTATATATATATATATATATATATATATATATATATATATATATATATATATATATATATATATATATATATATATATTATGAAATGGACAAAGTCCGACAATTATTTTAAAACATTTTATGTTTATACATCCTTTTTATATACACAAATATTTAAGTAAATTTACTTGAATATTTGTATCTATAAAAAGAATGTATAAACATAAAATGTCTTTAATATATATATATATATATATATATATATATATATATATATATATATATATATATATATTAACAAAACAAAAGTTATACATAGACAATAGAATATTGTTGTGTGTTACTGAACAATGAAAATAAATGAAAACATTTAAAAACTAAAGAATGTGTTTGTGTATATAAAATGTATGTAGACGTCCAAGTGAAAGGTATTACGTTGAAGAAAGTGAAGGGAAAGATGCTGGCGTGCGTGCGCGCTCTTCTTCGGGTTCGACCTACATCTTACCGTACCTGGGTGAAATAGCAGAAAGACGATGACCTTGAATATTACTACCTATTTATAGGCTTAGGAAGCGTCCCGTAGCGGCGTTTTTTTTAGGAAAGTAAGTGGGGTAACTCCACAGATGAAAGAAATTAAGAATTGACATTACTTCATCTGAGAAATTAAAATATTATATCTATTCTACTTAATATTCGTAGACATATATAACCGTTATGGAAGCTTCATTTGTGTTTAATTTAGGAAGCGATAAAAATAGTTATCCTAATATTTTCTTTCCTCATATCCTGACAAAAACAGCCAGTTTCCTTTTCTTTACGTCTATGATTGTAACTTTCCGTTGCAAGAGCAGTTTATCTTTGACTCTCGTAACAGTAATATCGGTGTACTAAACACTGTTGTTTCTCCACACTCCTAAGTCAGTGTTTTCACCTTAACCACTTCTTATTGAGTAGAGAAGGTAGGCTTCGTAGGTTTGTTGGTATCCGGAAGTAATTCAGTAGGGCGCTGTCATCAGAAATTCCCTTAACGTCTATAAACATCTGTGGTCCTTCAGCTTCCAAGTATTTTCTTTATGTTGTCAGTTTATTTAAAAACCTCGACAGTCGAGATAAATCTTTTTCTCTTGAATTAAACCTGTCCACAACGTTCCGGTCTTCAATGGAGATGGAAGTGTTTAGTTTAGCTGTTGGAGTTTTCATGTAAATCGAGAATAATGGTTTCATTTGTGAATTTTCATAATTAAGTCCTCCCCTTCCGTGTTTAACAAACAAAATGAATTTACAAAAGATGATCAAGTTTAGCTTTTTGCTATGATTTTTCGAAAGATTACGTACTGCCTGTTTCACTGGGTCGGCCATAAATTAGAATTCCAAATTTGTATTTCGTTTGTATGTCGGATGGCTAAAATCCCGAACACGACAATTCGGAAAGATCAGAATTTATAAGACCGAAATCTCGTTAGGGGCTATATCAATAACCCAAAACCTGAAAGAAAAGACAAGCAAAATCTTGAAAAATGCAATTCCTATATAAATCCCATCCCTGCTATGTGATCCATTTACATAAACTCGTTAAACAGGTTAATCGGCGCTTCCCTCTGACAATCTTACGTTCAATATATCCTGTGGTGTCAATTTATTCAAGCCGTCTTTTCTCATTATCAGCATTATCTAAACTGTTTCTTTCTGATTTGAGGCGGGTAACAAAAATAGATATTACCTTATAATTATATATTTAAAAAATAGCTAAACCAGTTTATCGCTAGTCTCTCGTCAGAGCTCAATCGAGGACAAAAATGTTCACAGCGACTAAAATAGTTATAAAACACAAGACAAATGTTATATGCAAAAAAAAAAAAAAGAACAAACAAAAAACAAATAAATAACAATAAAGGCTAACTATCTTTAAAGCTCAACGCCTTCTGCAAATAGAGAGATGGCTGGTAGGACTTAATGTACAAGGATTCCAACACTTTCAAGTGGTAATCGGAATTAGTCCCACTTAGCCCAAAGACCGAACACATTGCGGGCTTTTAATCAAATGTTCAGCTATCGCTGAACTTGATAGATTAACACACCTATGTATCTTCTTCCATGTTCCACGTCCCTTTAAGACGTGTGAAATCATAGCTCTCCACAAAATCCTGTCCCTTGTAGATTTAAGTGTATGTCCTTTTTTTTGTTTCGATTTTCCTTAAAACTCCCTCGTTGCTTAGATGTTTTGTCCATTGTATTCTCAGCATCCTTCCATCGAAACACATCTCTGTTGCTTCATATGTCCTCTTCATCTGTGAGGAAACTGTCCAGTATTCACCTCCTTACAGAAGGATTAATATGATGACGTAGCATTTCAAGGTTCTTTTCTTTGTTTCTATAGAAAGGAAATTACCGTTCTCTTAATATTTTCTTCAGATTTCGGAAGTCATCTTTCGCTGTTTTGATGCAACTTCGGATTTCTGTGTCACATCTTCGCCGTCTTTTATAACGCTTCCTAGAGAAGTAAATCGCTTTACTGGCTTGATTTTGACGTTTTCGATTCGTAACTCACAACTTAAGCTGTCTCTCTGTCATACCGGAACATACCTATTCTATTGTTAATAGACTCTTCCACATATAATAAGTAGTAGTAGTAGCAGTCGCCAGGGAGCTCAGTGAGTTGGTCTGACTTCAGTTTGAAGTCGGACAACCGGCTGACCGGTTGAACTCTCTGCCTTCGGGCGGGGAGGAACCCGAACGAGGCTACGCCGAAGGGCGGAGTCTCTTTCGGGGAGGTAAACCGACCCTGAACCCGTTTATACGGGTTCAAAGGGCATATTTTTGGCCGAGCCCACGAGCTCGGAGATCCTACGTTAAACCGGCCTTGTGCCACATGACGTCCTCGTGGGGGGGTTACTGAATATCGCTCAGTGAGTTGGTGAGTCAGTCGATGGCGGACATTAAAGTATCAACCACCACAACTAGATTGCTGCGTCATTATCTATTATATTAAGTTCCTAACGTTTTGTACGTCGAACCTTGAACTGTGAAACTAGTCTACAACACTCTCTTCTCACTGAGTATACTATCTGCTTTTAATACGATTGATAGTTAGTCCTCTCTTCTTGCTTTCCTCTACTAACTTGTCTGTGAGTTCCTGCATTTTTCTTTCTGTGCCTGCGACCAGCACAGTGTCATCTGCGTATATTATGTTATATATTGTAAATATATGTCCTCCTTTACTGGCTCTCTGTCGCCTTAACTGTCGCTTTTCTTTTTACATTCTCTCTTTGTAACCCCCCCCCCGCGTTCTTGTATTTCTATGTACCCTTATTTTTACATTCTCTTTAATCGGCTCAGTTTTCTCTCTTCCCACCCCTTTTTTCCTTAGGTCTTTCTCTTTTTCCCTCTTTATTCTATATATTT